CACACACACACACACACACACACACACACAGAGCTGGAAGTGGAGCTGTGGCTTAAGTGGTAGAGTGAACACAAAAACTCAGGGGAAGTAGTAGCTAGGTCCTAAGTTCAAGTCCCAGAATACGCCCCACACTCTCTCCCCCTTATAAAGGTAATCTCATAGTCGGGTGCCAATGGCTTATGTCTATAATTCTAGCTACTCACAAAACTGAGATATGAAGGTTGTGGTTCAAAACTAGCACAGGCAAGAAAAATCCCTGAGACTCGTGTCTCTCCCCACAAGAAAGACAGAAGTGGAACTTTGGTTCAAGTGTAGAGTGCCGGCCTTGAGCAATAAAATCTCAGGGACAGTCCCCAGGGCCTGAGTTCAGCCCCAGGACTGGCACACCCACAAAAAAGGCAATCTCAAAATACCAAATGCCTTAATTGGGCCTACCACACTTTGCTGAACTATTTCCAAAGTTTTGGTATTGTAAGTGATATCAGTGCTTAGCCCTGCTCATCAACCATTGTGTGCCTTTTCTAACCATTTCCTCAGGCTAAATCCCTACAAGTGGGATGAGTGCATCAAAGCAGCACACGTCATACCTGCTACATGGTCATACCAGTGACACGCACCCCCCACCCCCCCGCCCATGACTCAGGGAAAAAGCAACCTTTGCCAAATGAATATCCTAGAGTGTTTACACTGTTAGGAAATCCATTGTTACTTCTGCTTGACTACTGGAGAGCTTAAAAAGGCCACACAATAATTTAAACTTTTCTTCTAAGTTATTCATCTTTCATGTTTAGATCAAGTCCTGCTGAAACAAACTTGTTGATAATCCATTCACTAGTATATAATGACAGCTATCTCATCATTACCAAAGAGAAAAAAGCATGGACTTACTAAAACAGCTAGTGGGAGAGGAATAAACCCCATCCTGCGGGCCACCGAGTCGCTGTAATCAGTGTATGCCTGTAGAGAAGAGAGCATTCACTTAGGGGGCTAAGCAGCATTAAAAAATACTGTCCACACGTCCCACCCAGAGTTCAACACAGGTGAGAGCCGGAAGAGAAGTTGGCACTTGTCACATAATTTAGTAAAATAATGTGGAAATCTACAAGCTTATATAATTATCACAATGATGTAGAAATCATATATTATTTAATGTTTACCATCTAGACAGATATAAGTCTACACAGTTCCCCCTTCCATATTAATTAGCCACTGTTTAGTCAATGTTAGGCTATGCTCACATTTTTCTGGCGGCTGCTAACAAGGTCAAAAGCAAGGCTGGCTCTGTATTCACTGTAGACCTAAAGAGAAATAAGCAACCAGGGTAAGTCCATTAAAAGCACACTCTCCTAAATCTGAGAAATCTGTTGAGCTACCAGGGTTGAAGCAGCAATGAAAGACATCCCAGGAAATTCTACATTCTATCACATATACAATACTACAGCTATGTATCTATTTCTGGAAATTCTATGGAACTTGGTCACAATATAAAACAAACCCCTCAAAGCTCCATCAAAAAGTTTTCACAAAATATATGGCTCTTTTAAAACTTAGAAAATTTATTTATAATCACACACAAAAAAGGCATTGTTAAATAAAAAATGAAAAACACAATCAAATCCCAGCCATTAAGTTTTACTTTTACAAATAGGTACAATATGACTTAATAAAAATACTTTCAGTAATGGACTAATTTTTAAAAAGACAAAATTACAATTCTAACTTCAGTAGTAACCTATTATCATCTATAATTTTAGATTAAGGAATGTCTACACGCTGAATTACTTAGAGAAATACATACATCTGCAGTAATGTCATTGAACTTGGTGATAAAGGCATGCTTTACAATATCCACAGCAATTTCAGATGCAATCACCATACAGACATCTGGAAATAACACCCACAGATGATCTAAGAAGTATGGAAAAATGAGAGACAATTAAATCTCTTAAAATGCATTGAATCTGTATCACAAGGTATTATAAATCTGAAATATCCATAGGGAAAGAGTATATTTTCAATAAATGATGTTGAGAAAGTAGTACTGAATTAACTATAAACTTATTTTAAAAAAAGAGGTTCATTTTACTAGATTGGACAGTTCACTCAACAAATGCTCAGTATGTCCAAGTATTACTTCCTGCTTGTGGACAGTAGTAAGGTTAGGAAGCCTCTACATGACAGAGAACTGGTGGCAAAGGTATGCTGAAGTCACAGCAGTTTGTTTCCTTCTTCGATCACGGTGACTGAAACGGATTGACCATTTATTTCACTGTTAAATCTCTGTACTTTTATGGTGTTCATTAAGATCTCAATTCAGTATTAGGTAGCTGATTTACAAAAAAATAAACAACAATAGATAGCTTATAAGATGCTGGAGGTCCTAACAGTGGGTCAAAGCAAGAAAAAGGTGACTGGAAGTGCTGCCAAGGTCCATCAATTCAGATGGAGTGTCTGGAGCTGGGGCCCTGTCACTGTGGTGGCAATGGGACAGCTTTCCTGAGTCTGGCTGCACAGGAAAGGTCTGGAAACCGGGACACTTTTAATTATAAACATTTCTACTAAGCATATATGACCTTAATTACTGATATTTCATTTCTTCATCAATAAAACAAGGATAACACAGGATCCACATTACATGTAGTAAAAATTACATATGGTAATAGTACACAACAATGCACCCGACACACAAATATCTAGTATTATTTTCATGTAACTAATCCTCCCGGGCATTTAGGTAAAGCATCCATCAAAGATATTTTGGTTGACCCATTATAACAATGAGATGTACGAGACACTGCTGAACATCAAACTTTACAATTTGGGCAAGGGGAGAAGGGGATGGAGTTGTGGAGATGGGAGGGCAGGGATGGTAGGGGAAAACAAAGGAGGAGGCAACAATGCTTGATAAGCTGTACTCATTACCTTGCTCATGTATCTGTAACCCCTCTGTACAGTATTTTCACAATAAAAAACATTTAAAGATATTTTGGTTTAAAACAAGACAATGAGAAAAAAAAACACTAAAAGTGAATGAATGAATGATGGATTCATTCAGTGCTCACTTTATCATTTTATCTGCTACCATAGTGATGAGGAGACTTCGGATAATCTGCTGAAAGACACCGCACCAATGAGAATGTGACTTTACATGGCGTCTCTCTGTCCTTGGGTGCAACAACCCGAGCTGGGATCGCTGATGCCCACGGGCTCCTGGGACCAGCCACACATGCCCATTCTGCTTTTTGTGGACTCTGAGCTGGCCTAGTTACACCGGTCATTTGTCAAAATGATCCAGGTTCCCACAGAATCCAAGTACAGCTGGACGGGAGCAGCTTTCGTAACACAAGTCATGTGGCCTCTCAATCTGCTGAGAGCTCATGTCATTGTAAGATCTACTTCTCGATTTTATATTTTTCATAAGAAAGTATCTTTGGAAATCTATTTCTAAGATCGTGTATCTCATTTTCTCTGTTTCTGTTTCTCCACAGAAACTGGAAAACAAGCAACGAATTAAAATTTTCTGGTCCATTAAGAACAAAATTGTACAAAAATGTTAGGCATTAAAAACGTTTCCAAATTCCTTGAGCTATCTGATAAGTGACCATGTTTTACTGAGCTAGCATCAGCACTGGAACGACTTATTTCAGTTACTGCCTGAGAGTTCTAGTGACTTCACCTTCACGTTGCTTGCCCTTGATGGTACATATAACATGCTCAGTGAATGTCTGCCTACTTAGATGGATGATGGAAATTCGTGAAATTTTAACAGTTTCTTAGCCTGGATTCATGGACTCATATTAGTATCAACATTCTTTACACTTTCTTTAGTTTTTCCCCATTTTATTTATTCCTCATTCAGAGGATGGGTAAGAGACAAAAGGCCCTAAGATGAACACGGTGTGACTGACTGGGCAATCAGAAAATGTACAGTGACCAGCACAGGGAAAAGCGTGAGCCGCGATGCTCGGCTGGCAGTGCTCTCCAAATTCACACTGCAGAGACGAGGCGAGGCTGGGTGAAGTGCCAGTACCACACCACATCACACCTGCCACTGAGAACATGCTCCATCGATTCTCAGGAAATAAGAATTGCTGATGTGCTAACCAGCTGCTGCAAATATCCCCTTGTACTCATTTTAGGCCATGTGAAAGAATAATTTTGGTTTAAGAGCAGTATTGTAAGACACTGTTAGTGAAGAAACATTTACCTGGATTCCAAGAAAACTGCTCCATGTTTCTTAAACACACTATTAGCAAAAGCACATAATTGGTAAAACGCTCCTTAATATCTAAAAAAAAAGAGAACATACAAATACCACAGTGCATACAAATAACACAGACCATATATAAAGTAACTGTTAATACATGAAAAAAGTATACTATTTGTAAACATTTACAAAAAATACACTTGCTCCTCAGTGTCTATGGGGTATTGGTTGCCAAATTCATTCAGCTACAAAACCCAGGATGCTTAAGTTTCTTTCTTTCTTTTTTTTTTTTTTGGTCTGTTGTGGGGCTTGAACTCTGGGCCTGGGCACTGTTCCTGTGCATTTCAGCTCAAGGAGAGCATTCTACCACTTGAGCCACAGTGCCACTTCCAGTTTTCTAGTAGTTTATTAGAGATAAGAGTCTCACAGACTTTTCCTGCCCGGGGCTGGCTTTGAACCTCAATCCTTAGATCTCAGCCTCCTAAGTAGCTAGGATGACAAGTGAGCCACCGGCACCTGGCTGATGCTTAAGTTTCTTATATAAAACCTAACAGGATTCACATATAGCTGTGCACATATTCATATCCTTTTTGTCTCTAGATTACTCATAATGTCTAACACAATGAAAATGGTGTGTAGATAGATAAGATTGTTTAGGGAAAAATGTGTGTATTCATTATAGGTGCAATTTTTTCTCTTAGTAGTAAGTTTGCCATTGATTTACACAATGGATGCAGCATGCAGGATCCATTCAGAGAAGTCAGTCAATATACATACATACATCATACATGGCCTGGAATTATACTGACAAACTATCTTCTTCTTTCTCCAACATAATTCTAGCATGGATATTCAATTTTTCTAACAAACTTCAAAAATATCCAAACCATTAAAGTGCTCAGGCTGGTTTATTCCTCCAATAGTTTCAGAGGAATTATGACAGCTGTTTTGATTTTATAGAAAAAGAAACAACAGGAGCAAGACGTAAACATAAGACTCGGAAACATAAAGCTCTCATGTCCCAGACTTACAGTTTGGTACATAGTTAAGAACATACGTATAGACCTAATGAATCCCTTAGCTAAGCGAATACAATATTACAGTTGTATTTGTTGGAATATGTGTAGAATTTTGGAGGAAATAAACAAAATGAGGCTTCACAATGGTATTTTACGACAAGTTAATAAACTAAATACTCAGGGCACCAGCTTAGTAGGAAGGCACTACAACTTGGGCCAAATCTCTAACCCTATTGAATAGGGGCTTGTGTTTTTGTCTGGGTTGGTGCACGACACACCCATTTGTGGTACCCACATAGCTGGGATGGCAGATCCAGATCACAGTACCCACCTATTGGTTAAGACGGGGTCTCACTAACTTTCTGCTGAGGATGGCCTTAAACTGTGATCCAATTTAAGTATGACACCTAATGCCAGTTTTGCAGTTATTTTCAACTATGATAACAAGTACTGGGGGCTGAGAAGGTGGCTCAGTAGTAAGAGTGCTTGCCTTGCATGCATGAGGCCCTGGGTTCAATTCCTCAGCACCACATAAGCAGAACAAAAAAAAAAGCCAAAGTGGTGCTATGGCTCAAGTGGTAGCGTGCTAGCCTTGAGCTGAAGAGCTGAGGGACAGCACCCAGGCCCAGAGTTCAGGGCCCACGACCGGACACCCCCCCAAAAAAAAAAGAAAAAAAAGAAAAGAGAACAAGTACTATGTAGTCAAGGAACAAAGTGAGTTACATCTGCATCTGTATCAAGTGTGTACCCTAAAAGCTAGAAAGCGATCATTCACATTCCAGCACATCTCAAAAGCACCAAGACACCTACTGGTGTCTTGCACGATTCTATTCTTTGAGCAACACCAGGCTCACCTACACCACCAACTGTGCTACTTCTATGTGTAATCTCACCTTGATGCCTCCTCTAATCATTTCCACCTGGGTCCTTCTACTGACTAGCAACATGACTGGGACTCTGCTCCACTGCAAAACCCTGTCCTCTGTAAGTGAGTAGACCTTTACTCTGTACCTTCCCTAAGCCCTTATACTCTTCGGTCAGCTGCACGGACATTCCTTTCGAGGGCAGCTCAGCTCTGTACTTGCTGTGGGTCTGAGCTTCAACTTTACTCTTTGAAAGCTTAGTGGGCACAAACTGCTGCTCTATTTACAGAACTGTAGTTATTTCTTATGCAGCGCCATGTCTGGGGGTGTAACCTCACTGCTGTGGGGGTCTCAAGGTGCGGAGCGCACACATCCCCTTGAGAGCATAATACAACTGTAGGGAAGTCCACGGGACTTCTGACAGGTACAAGATCATATATTCAGCTCATTTTGTAACTTCAAAGCTTTCCCTTGAGTAATTCCATTGAAATTGGATAAACTGAATTGTTTAACCAGGTGCTGATGGCTCATGCTTACAATCCTAGGCAACTCAGGAGGCTGAGATCTAAGGATCACACTTTGACAACAGCCCGGGCAGGAAAGTCCATAAGACCCTTATCACCAATTAACCACCTAAAACTGGAAGTAGCCCTGTGGCTCAAAGTGGTAGAGCACTAGCCTTGAACACAAAAGCTCAGGCCTTGAATTCAAGCTCCAGGACCATCAAAAAAAAAAAAATGTTTTTACAGTTAACTCTGGATTAACTCAAGAGATTACATTTCTCAACGTACTTTTAATTGGAATTTTATATTATTCATAAATTTATCTCTATATGCGTGCAAGCCTTTTCTGATGTATATAATAAAGTTAACAAAGAAATGAATTTACTAAAAATTAAGTTCATTATATAATTTTCTGGAATGAGATTGCTTTGAGAAACAGAACACTGTAAAATATTACTTGAAATAAAGCAAGTTAACTTTTTATCAATGCTAATAATGTAATAAAAAAGTAGTAAATAACATCTGATTTTTGGACAGCTACGAATATAGAAATCCTTCCACCAATTCAATTCTACTGATATTAATGGAAGGGAAACATTATTTTATTATGAGGATATTTATGACAAAATATATCTTAGAAAAGCAGGCAACTTCAAAATATTGTACAGACTAATAAAAATTAACAAATTCTGGTGGATAAATGCAATCTTATGTGAAGAGATAAGTTTAAAGATAAGAAGAAAATTAACACCATAAAGAAGTATCTTTTTATTTCAAGAACTTATCAGCCTAACTATGACAATCAGGCTGGTAGATATTTTAAATTTTTATTCCTATAACTTTCTTTTTTATTATTTGTGCAAACTTTCTGCTGTACTAAATAATAGCTCAATGTTTTAAAAGTTCCTTTATAATGTAATATTATATTACACAGTCAATGAATAACATACTTCTATCACATCTCAGCTTTAGAACAGTAAGGATTTTGATTAGTGATGAAGTTTTATGCATTAAGAAAATTACAATTTTTACTAAAATGAGAATGACTTCTCTTAACCTTCTTAAACGAGCTTAAAAAGTAGTGACTAACAATTAGGGTACTTCTGGTATATTGATTATTAGGCCCATTACTCTGCTGTATTACTAGTAGGGCTATACTTTTACAATTATAGCCAAAGTAATTAGGAATAAGGAACAAAAGCTACCACAGGGCAATTTCTTATAAAACCTAAAGGTAATTTGCACTGTAAAATGAACTATATCACTTATAACAAAAAGCAACACTTTTTTGGTAGTAATTACTAACCAATTAAAGCCAAAATAAACTCCTAAATTTCTTGAGTTAATATTTATACACGATCAACGTGCCATCTTTTTTCTATTTTTGTAAAACTAAAATAATGAATTCTAATATGAGAGGATATTAATTTTGAGGGCATGCCTATAGAAGGAGACATTCATTTCATTAGCGTGCATGTAGTAAAGTGAAAAGCCACTCACAATTTCCTCCTTAAAATTTCAAGGCTCTTAAATAGGCTGACTAAAAACACTCCAAATGCTCATCTCTTCATTTAAAGCTCCCTAGAGAGAGCTACTTAAATCAAGTTATTAACATGAATTAAAAATATGGTTTCTAAATGAGTACTGATGGTTCATGTCTGTATCCTGGCTAATCAGGAGACTACAATCTGGATGATCATTATTTGAAGCCAGCCTGAAGAGGAAAAAAATCTCACTAGACACTCTCCACTCTCCCAAATAGCTAGCTAAAAGCCAGGCTGGAGGTGTGGCCTGAGATGAGCAAGCTGAACAAGTGCAACCATTTTCTCTTTGAGCCCTTTCTTCTTTCCCTACCCCTCTGCTTTCATTTCAACTTCACAACACTTGCTGTATGCATGTGTAAGAGAAGAATACTAACACAGAAGAAGACATAGCACAGACTACCTCTCAGAATTTTGAGATCTGTGGTCCGACAGAATCAATAGACTTCACTGCTAGTTTTCCATGTGTTGCTCTTGTTCCTCACCTAGCTTTTTCAAATATACATTTCTAAACGTTTGCTTTGACCAACCAGAAAGTTCCTTGGCATCCTTCTTCACTAATTTTGGGCCTTGGTGGGCTTAGGAGTTCCTGGGTCTGGTAGGTAAAGGGATGTCTCATTTCACTCACTTTCCTTTGTATTTCCTTAGTGACATTTCTTCTAATAATGGCAAATACCTGGCCGTTCATATGTCTTTTGCAAAATTCTTTTCAAACTTTTTTCTCACTTCTAAGTTGTACTATCATTTCAAAAATGATTAACTGATTTTTTTTTTCATTTTCCTGGTCTTGGACCTTGAACTCTGGGCCTGGGAGCTGACCCTAAGTTCCTTGTGCTCAAGGCTAGCATTCTACCACTTGAGCCATAGCACCACTTTTGGCTTTTTCTGTGATTAATTGGAGATAAAGAGTCTCACTTACTTTCCTGCCTCTTCTGGCTTCAAACTCAGTCCCCCGATCTCAGCCTCCAGAGTAGCTAGTATTAATAGGTGTGAGTCACCAACACCAGGTTTAGCTGAATTTTTAATGTATTCAGGAATTTAAAAAAATCCTTTGCTATAAACATCTCAACTCTTCTTGTAGCAGTGCGATGTGCCTTTTCATTTTCATAATTTTTTTAATGGCATTTTTAATTTAAATACAATTTATTTCTTCTATGGTTAGTAGTTTTGTGCAATCTCTGAAAATACCTAAACAAAGGTATGAGTGTATATTTTGTATACCGTATCATTTATTCTAATGAATTTTATAATTTAGCATTTATGTTTATGGCAAGGAAATATTTTGAATTAACTTTTTAATAGATGGTCTAAGTCCTTCTATAACCTTTACCTACACGGTTCAGCAACAGTAGTGGAAAAAAGTCCTTTTCTCACTAATTATTTGTTTTAGAAAATGCAATCATTTTTTATTAAAATGTTATTTAGTATTTATTTATGGTAACTTTATTTAGAGCTACAAGTAGAATCTAATTGTACATACCGCTATTTGACATTTGAAAGAGATTGTTCTTTTCAAACTTCTTGAAAACACTTCCTTTAATTTCAACAAACTGAAATAGTAAACAGAAATATCATCTTCATCATCTTAAGTTTAAAAATTGACTTGCTACATACAAAACTTCCTAGAGAAAAAAACAACATATAGAACAGTTTCATTTTATCTACAATACTACTGCTTAAGTATCTTTATAATCAATATGTAAAACAAAATCTCATACTTACATTATTAGACATCATAATAGTAAGCAGTGACTTGTTGTGGGAGTTAAAAGCTACATTGAGAGTTGTTGCTTGAACCATTATGAGAATTGCATGTAAAACTAACAATACGTCAAGGAAAAATCTTACACTTATTTTCATATTAATAACTATAAATTTTGAAAGGGGGGAATAATTGTATTTTCTAAACCAAATCTTACACAAACACTTTATCTTCATAATTGTAATAGGTGATACAAATTTGACTGGGTATATACCAAGTATGGAATATGTATATGTGTACATATGTATATATACACACTCCATATAAAACAAATAACGCTCTGTATCCATTTATTTAGACCACAGAATATTTTATTTATTAGGTTAAAGACTGGCACTTGAACTGGGTTCCTGATGATTTCGCACATTGGCTTGCACACTACCAACCAAGCCACACCTCCAACTCTGACCACAGAGTCTTTCAAGTAAATGGAATAAAATACAGTAAATAGGGCTGGAGGTGTGGTTCAAGCAGTATTATAAAAAACAAAAATATTCAGTAAATAATGAGAGATTTATAAATATACATTTTGAAGTAAGATAATTTGAATTTTAAAAGAGAATAATTAAAGTTAGACTAGATGTGTTTTTCTTCAACTGTTATGGAATATGAAACAGTAAGAAATGTGAAAAAATTAAGATTTCTCATGTCAGACAGGATTATATTCATATTATACACACAAAAATTTGTAATTCAGAGTATTTTACTCCACTAAAACTGGAATAAGTTCTACCCTCAAACACCACTCCCAAGTACTAATCTAATTTCTCTCAAGTGTCACTGACAACAAGAAATAGATGACACATTGCTGTGAGAGTCCTGACTCCATATGGAAGTTAACAGTAGGCTTGTATGCATGTGCAAGTAAACCTTTATAAATGTGCAATATAGATTACACTACTTTGTCATTACAATCAGTTATCCCAACAACAGTCATACATACACAAGGCTCTTGAAAATAATTTCTAATTACAATAAACAATTTCTTACAAAAAGCAGACATTTTACTAATCTTATTTATACATGAACACAGACATCTTTAAATCTATGAAACAGCTACCCAAATATAATACTATACCCCGACTGCTAGAATTTCCAGTAAGACAAAAAGGATACAGACATAGAGAACAGCCATGAAAAAGTGAGGGATCACTCCGATATGGGCTCTTTTTCTTTCTTTAGGCTCTGTTGCTGTCCAGTAGAGAGCATCTAATATATCTTGTCCAAATGATGAAAACAGACGATCAGCTACCTACAGAGATAAATAGTGAGAAGATGCCTGTTAGTAATTCATTTGAAGATGTTACTAAAATTCAGATGCAACTGGAAACCTGATTTTTAAAATCCTAGCTGAAGGGAAGCTAAAGCTCAAAGATCTTCCTTGTTTACTTATTTACTTATCTGTCTTTATCTTCTGGTACACAGTGAGTATTAAGATGTTTGCAGAATTTGAATTAGACTTTGTCTAATTAGCTGTTTGTAGCAAGGGAGGTCTTATCTGATGGCAAAAGAGAGGCACATCAAACTCATAGTTCCTGTAAAACAGGATTCTAACAGTCTTCAGGATAAATTTATCATGATTCATTCTACATGCAACTAATATTTGTATATAATGCAGCTGTATTTTGTATATAATATGCAGATTGACTTCCTAAAGATATCTCTTCAAACTCAGAATAGCAGAGAGGCAAAAATGAAAAAGAAAAGGAAGGCCTTATGTCATTTAGGATTAAGCCAAAAGCCACCTTGTAGGAGAGGTTCTCTAGCACTTTCCTTCTTTTATGTATTCCGTGGATTCTGTTGCCTGTTCCTTTTCATGAGACACTATTATCTAGGAACACCTCGTTTACTGTCTGTCTCCCAATTGCAGAATATACACTCCATGAGAACAGCCTATTCACCACTGGATCCTCAAGGTCAAATGCTCTAGCAGGTAGGATGGCAGGTGCTAATTAAATGTTCACCGAGTAAGAGTTATTCATTAGGAAGCTGAAACCACATGCCTTACTTTGTGTAATCACTTCATTTAATCCTCAAAACACCTTTTATACTTCAGCTTTACAGATGAAAAATTGAGGAAAAGGAATGAGGAAGCAGCAAGGAAGGAAGCAAGGAGCTTAGAAACGGGGCAAACATGCACAAACTTTAAGGCAATTTATAATTGATATAATTTATTATGTCCAACAGACATAATCATATCTTTCACTTCTTAACTCCAAAATTTTAAACTGCCAACAAAAATTTTGAAGGTACACATGGGTTTGCCATCATGTGAGAAACAGATTTGCTTAGTCTGTGACAGTACACATTCTGGAGGGGTGCTAAGAAATGTACAGGCAGCAGGGATCTTCACCGCATGGGACAAGAAACACCTTGCTAGGGGGACCTAGTCCCCTAAATGTCTCCTAGCCCAGGCATCACCTCATTAGAAACACAGGTTGTCCAGCCCCCACTAGCTTCCCAAGCGATGGCAAAGCCAGAAGTGCCTTTACTAGAATCGTTAGGAAAATATTTTCCATCCCAGGCACTTTGTATATTGGAAGGAAGACTTGCAGTTGTGAGCTTGGGTCAAGTCTGTGAAGCTGGCAGGTAGACTGGTGACAGGGTAGCAAGTGCACTTACCTCCAGCATGTTGTAGATAATGTAGAGCTTGATGACAGACTGACCTCGTATCAGGTGGTACATCATGGAGTAGTCAACATAGTGCATCATGAAATAGCAGATCACCAAAAGGACACCCTTCAAAATGTCACACACCTGGGCAGGTTGAAGCACACGCCTATCCCTGAAACATACAACAAGTAACAAAAATATGAGTTTTACTTTATGAGTCCTCAAAATAAGCCATCTTTACTGAACACATATCAGCACAAAACAACAAGAATTATGTTGCTCTTTTAAGATTTCAAACAAGAGGAATTACTTGCTAAAAGTATAAAAATTTCAGCCAAGTTAAACCAGAATTACAATTAGAAGCCAGGACAGTCACAGTGAGCCACGTGCTTGCTGTAGAGCACTTTAAGGCAGCTGTTTTCCATGAGGGTGACAGTCTGGAAGCACTCTTGTAGCCCTGGGGTCTAATAATGCTTCCTACATAATGCTTTCTACACTTGGTGCTTTTTACTTAACATCATTACAAATTTTTCCATGCTGATTCAGAAAGAACTCTGATTTTTATGGTGGCAGGGTATCTCCCATTTAGATGCACACTTTTATCAGCACACCCTTGTCAGATTTCTAGTCCTTTGCAACTACAAACTATGGCACAATATATAAGTTATGCCTCATGAATTAAAGAGCATCCAGAAGAGAAATTCTTAAACCCGGGTTTTAAGGTCATGTGACATTTGGTAGAAACAGATGACACACCCTTAGTGTGTGACTACCTTCTAGGTTTTTGCCAATCACATGAGCGAAAAACAGTATCTGGGGTGTTTCAGTAGTATTTTTGTTCCAGGACACTCAACATCTCTTTTCATATATTTAAGGATTATTTGCGTTTCTTATAAACTCATATCTAGTTGTTCTGACTTATAGTAATAGTTCTTTTTTTAATTTTTATTTTTTATTGTGAAAATACTGTACAGAGGGGTTACAATTACATGGGCAAGATAATGAGTACATTTCTTATCAAGCATTGTAGCCTCCTCCTTTGTTTCCCCTTCCCATCCCTTTCCATCCTCCCCCCGCCCCCCAGTAATAGTTCTTATAGGTCAGTCCTCTGTGACATGACTTAAAATTATTTTTTGTAATTAATAAGAAGCATTTCCTATTTCTGATACTAGAGTATGAAAAATTAAATCTAAATTGTGAAAGGACACATATTTGTTAACATGGAACACTATGTTCAAAACGAACTATAAAACTTGTGGGTGGGGATGGGAGGGAAAAAACAGAGAACGGGAAGAGGTGACACTGTCCAAAAAGAAATGTCCTCGTTACCTGACGTTTGTAACTGGAACTCCCCCTGTGCACATCATCTTTATGCTAACAATAAATTGTTTTTAAATGTAGGAGTTCTTTTACTGGACATACAATTTCTGTGGCAAGAATGGAAAGCTTTTCTCTATGTCCACTGCAGGCTGATTCCTCACGACAGCCTTCTGTGCTGGCAGCTCGTACCTGATGTGCACTCAACAGCAAGGACCGAGTATTTCCTTTAGGAGCTGCAGGGTCCTACAATACCTATGGGCTTTTGCTAGCTGTGACAATGCTCCAAACACCTCATTAACTTCTCAAGACACTGGTCTCCAAGCCACCCGCTCATTTTTGCTGGCTTGTATTACTGGCCACCTATGCTCTGGAGCTCTTTGCAGTCCATGTCCAGATTTGTATCAGGGGCTTTTCTCCAATGATCAACCTGGAATTGCTGTCTTCCAAAGTGTTCTCTGAGACACAGCTTAACATGGTATTGATGATGTAGTACTGGTTTTGTAAGCAGTTGTTACAGAACTGCGTTTTGTTTTCTATAGTGTACACTGAAGTTACTAATGAACTTAGTGCATTGTTTATAGAATATGGGAACGTGCAAATCTAGGAAGAACCTCAAGTGGGGGGAAGAAGCCATTCCTTTGAGCCTAAATGGGAGATAGGTTAGAACTTGTTTAAGTTAGACCACACTGTGGAAACAGGGAGGAAAAACAGTGACGTTAGGACCGTAGGCAAAAGTCCGTCAAGGACACAGAAGACTTATTCTCCTATTACTTGTTCTGGTGACACTCTTTTCTCCAATACCATTCCTCTCCTTCCACATATATCCTGGCCCTTTTCTCTTCACAGAGACCAAAGAGTCCTTTATCTCCTGTCTCCCACACCCAGTCCTGAGCACAGGTTTCTGAATGATAACATTATGCCCTCCTTTCATACAAGACTGGGAATGGGAGACCTGTTCTTTATGACAAGAGACATACATTTCTAATTCTGATACACACAGAGGGAGACACTTTGAACAATCTTAGGTCCTGCCTTAAAACTGTCTGTCTCCCCTGGGGGACAGGAAACAAAATGTGAGGGCAGGCTGTGCACCTGCCATGACTCCCCTAAGAAGCAGTGGCGTTGCTTTTCCTCCTTAGATGCACGGGCATAGCTCAGCATATATTGAAAACCACATAAATCCAATAGTTGGACATTTGACTTTAAAGAACTACAGAAACAACATATGGATTAAATAAAATGATAAGAACTAAAAGTACGGTAGTAAGAAACAAATTGTTAGAAAATAATAAAATGATATATATGCATATATTTCCATTGTGAAAATCTTACAAATCCTTTCCCCTATCCTTCATAATGGAGGCAAACAAATTATAACCATTAAGATTTTTGCCAAGGAGATGTATGGCAACATCTAGGAACATCATTTTGTCAGGGCTGGGATATGGGAGCACTACTGGCATCTAGTGTATACAGGCCAGAGATGCTGAGCAGCCTACAGTATGTGGCAGTCCTTAATGCAAAATGGCAGTGGTGGCAGGGCTGAGAAATACTTTATCTTAATGTATATTGTATCTTAAATGTTACAATAACTGGAAGGTACAATTTTTAAAAAATAGTAAAATTGTTAGATACTAAAATGACCTGATAATTATTAAGGTGGAAAATTATACTTACAAGTTTTTGGTACTACAGTCTTATCTATTTAGTTAAGTAATCTCAATGTAATTTCATTTAAGATAAAGGGCTCTTTGGTATATGTCCAAATATATTTCTCTCTATATAAACATATTTGCAACTAAGGAACAATGTGCTGGTAAATATACAAAGGAAGATTATTAATATTATTTTTTTTGTCAGTTGTGGGGTTTGCACTCTGGGTCTGGGCACTGTCCCTCAGCTCTTCACCTCAAGGCTAGCTCTCTACCACTTGAGCCACAGCACCACTTCTGGTTTTCTGGTGGTTAATTGGAGACCAGAGTCTCACAGACTTTCCTGCCTGGGCTGGCTTTGAACTGTGATTCTCAGATCTTAGCCTCCTGCATAGCTAGGATTACAGGCATGAGCCACCAGTGCCCAGCTGGAAGATTATATTTGTAACCTTTGGTAGCAATTAGGTCTACCAAACATTTTATATTCAAAATAATACAACATCACATTTCATCCAAGATAAGCTAAAATACAGAAGTTGAAACGTAAACAACTTTAGTTTTATTTTACCTAGTATTAAGCCAGGTTGAAAAACAAAGGCAAGTTGTAAGAACTACACTACAGTTTAGTTACTACATGGCAGGCACTGATACCCTAGGCTCTCCTCAGGAATCACCTTAGAGCTTAAGGAATCTTCACCACCCAGTTCTGCAGGTGATGTGGGGAGGGGGGGGTAGTGAGCACATGCCTGTAAGCCACACAGTAAGTTACTCTTTGGGGGAGCAGGATTGGAATCTTGGCATCTGGTTCCAGAGACAGATTCTTCACTGTCACGCATCTTCACAACTTTAAAAAAAATAAACTTCCAAATTTAGAGAAGTCAACAACTCTGTGCCTTTTATCTTTCAGTAAAATTTAATACTATATATAATCATCAGAAAAAAAATTGTGTTAAAAACTAACTATACTTCTCATTGTATTCTTCAGTTTGAAAAATACATTAAAAAACAAAGGACAAAATCCATTCATTGGCTACTCTGCTACCTGCCTATTATTCCAGTACTAATCTAGTAAGTGGTTGCTATGGAGCTGTGACTTTCAAAATTAAGTATTAATAAAATAAAAAATAAAACTAGAACCCTTGGGGTAGTAAAGATAAAAATTAAAAACCTGTTTTTAGGTTGGAATCTTGCATGACAACCATACTTTTCATAGCCCCTAGAAGAAAAGGCCTAACCTCACAAGTAAGTCTAGCTAGTTAAAGCAACGTGAACTAATCACAGTGTTTGTTCCTTCTCTGCCAGGATATTTTTAGATGACAATCTGAGAAGCATTTCAAACTCTAAGACGATTATCTACAGCCCTGCCAATCAACCTGGAATCCGCTTCAGAGTAATCTTTAAGCTGAAGTTCTTCATATAAACGGCTATTCAATAGTAGTTACTGGCAATTCATTTTGCAAAGGCCAGAAAATCTCAAATGCAACATGCTGGATAAAGTAAAATCTCACTAATCTGAATCAGTTCAGATCAGTGATTTGGCTGCATGTTATAATAAGGTAAAAACAAACAAACAAACAAACAAAAAACACCCAACAGCACTTTAAAATTAAAAAAAATAAAATATCCAACAGAACTAAAAAAATTAAATCACCCTTATAGAAACCAAGCTTTTCTACATTCCCTACAATTTACCTTTTTATCCCTATACATACTTCCACTGATCATGACAATTGAAAATTTGATAATTGGCAATTTATAATTTAAAGCACTTCAAGATTTATAGGAACAGAATTATGATTTAGAGAAAGATGATCATGAGTAGGATTTTCTCTCTGTTTTTAGCAGTTTGCTTTTATTAAAGACTGGTAGCACATAAAAATGTCAGGAAGGAAGGTTTTTGTTTTTTTCTCAATAAAAATGAACAAAATAAATGGGAAAATTCCTGGACAATTAATTTCAAATCAGTGTCAAAACACATCAGGGTATCATTAGTTCAGTATAAAATAAAGACTGGATCGCTCTGTTATTTCAAAATATATCCAGTAAAATTGGAAGAATGAAGACCGACAAGCACTACTGAAATAAGATATTTAACATGGCTCACCTTTCTGAAAGAGAAGTACCTTTATAATTTTAAAGTAATTTGGAATAAAGCAGAAAGATCAAGGTGTTTTCCTTAAAAAGGGAAACAAAGTATTTT